CCTCCAGCTGTGCAAGGTTCCAGCTGTGTAGGGTTCCAGTTATGCAGGGTTCCAGCTGTGTGGGGTTGTGGGGTTCCAGCTGTGTGGGGTTCCAGTTGTGCAAGGTTCCAGTTGTGCAAGGTTCCAGCTGTGCGGGGTTCTGGCTGTGTGGGGTTCCAGCTGTGTGGGGTTCCAGTTATGCAGGGTTCCAGCTGTGTGGGGTTGTGGGGTTCCAGTTGGGGTTCCAGTTGTGTGGGATTACAGCTGTGTGGGGTTCCAGTTATGCAGGATTCCAGCTGTTCGGGGTTCTGGCTGTGTGGGGTTCCAGCTATGCGGGGTTCCAGTTATGCAGGGTTCCAGCTGTGTGGGGTTGTGGGGTTCCAGCTGTGTGGGGTTCCAGTTGTGCAAGGTTCCAGTTGTGCAAGGTTCCAGCTGTGCGGGGTTCTGGCTGTGTGGGGTTCCAGTGGTGCAGGGTTCCAGCTGTGTGGGGTTCCAGCTGTGTGGGGTTCCAGCTGTGTACAGGGTTCCAGTTATGCAGGGTTCCAGCTTTGAGGTTCCAGATGTGCGGGGTTCTGGCTGTGCATGGCTCCAGCTGTGCGATGATCCGGCCATGTGGGGTTCCAGCTGTGCGTGGCTCCAGCTGTGCCGACCTCAGCCGTGCGTGTCCCTGCTGCGTGTCCAGGCCATGTCCCCGCAGCAGCCACCCCGCTGTGCCCGTCCTGGCTGTGCAGCGTCCGGCCCTGCGCTGTGCAGTGGCCTGGGGCCTCGGCAGATGGAGCTGCGCAGCTGTGCAGGCAGCTGTGAGGAGGCAGGATGGGAGCTGTGCAGCTGTGCTGGTAGCTGTACAGGCAGGATGGGAGCTGACCAGATGTGCAGGCAACCATGTGCAGGCAGGATGGGAGCTGTGCAGCTGTGCTGGCAGGATGGGAGCTGTACAGCTGTGCAGGCAGCTGTGTGCAGGCAGGATGTGTGCAGGCAGGATGGGAGCTGTGCAGCTGTGCCGGCAGGATGGGAGCTGAGCAGGCAGGATGGGAGCTGTGCAGCTGTGAGGAGGCAGGATGGGAGCTGAGCAGGCAGGGTGGGAGCTGTGCAGGCAGGACGGGAGCTGTGCAGCTGTGCAGGCAGCTGTGTGCAGGCAGGGTGGGAGCTGGGCAGATGTGCAGGCAGGATGGGAGCTGTGCAGCTGTGCTGGCAGGATGGGAGCTGTGCAGCTGTGCTGGCAGGATGGGAGCTGTGCAGCTGTGAGGAGGCAGGATGGGAGCTGAGCAGGCAGGGTGGGAGCTGAGCAGGCAGGATGGGAGCTGTGCAGCTGTGCTGGCAGGACGGGAGCTGTGCAGCTGTGAGGAGGCAGGGTGGGAGCTGTGCAGATGTGCAGGCAGGATGGGAGCTGTGCAGCTGTGCTGGCAGGATGGGAGCTGTGCAGCTGTGAGGAGGCAGGATGGGAGCTGAGCAGGCAGGGTGGGAGCTGAGCAGGCAGGATGGGAGCTGTGCAGCTGTGCTGGCAGGATGGGAGCTGTGCAGCTGTGAGGAGGCAGGATGGGAGCTGAGCAGGCAGGGGGGGAGCTGGGCAGGGAGGGTGGGGGGG